CAGGCTGGGTGTTCCTGCCTTTTTTGCTTTTGCCTTTGGAGGAAGACTGTTCCCGGGTGCGAAAAGGCTGAGGGGAGGGGTCCTCAACCCTCTCAGCACCACTAGGGCCAGCATCCGAGCCTGGATTGTGAGGGCGACCCCCCTGGGAAGAACCGGATCCCTCATTCTCTGCACGTCCTAGCACCTTCTGGAGAGTGTTCTGGGTGGACGTCTCCTTAAGGTATTTGGCCGCCCATTGGGTGCCACGTTTTTTGTGGGCGCGGGAGGCCCCCTCACACTGCGATTTGGCCACAGCCGTGGGGTTAAGCTGCCCTGGCTTGTGGACCGCATAGCATTTAGTGCAAAGGAGGACCGCCCCCATGCAGTAGAAAGAGTGGGACGCGTGCAGGCCAAAGTTGCTGAGATCGGGCAGCGGCCGGTGAGCGCACGGCTGGGCCTCCAGACGCCGGAAGGCCTCGGAAGAGTGGGTTTGCTGGATAAAGAGGGAACAAACCTTACAAACCAGGGAGTGGTTGTTGGGGTTCGTATGGCTCCACTCGAATTGGTGCCCATGGTGGCCTTCCCCTGCCATTAGGGCTTCCAGGCGTTGTTTTTTGTTAATGCCCCCATCCGCGCCAGGTCGATGCTGCCTCTGAGGGGGTTTGGCCTGTTTCGCCTTGAGCCTGGCATCAGGGCGGGGAGACCCCTTGCCCTTTACCGGGCTGTCACCGACGGCCTCCCATGGGGGCCTGTCGGTACTCAGGAGTAGCACTTCGGCTTTGCGTTGGAGGTGTTGCGCCACCTCTCGCGCCAAATCATCTGCAGGGGATGGATCCCACTGTGGTAAGTGGGCGATGGCGGCTAGCACAGCTTCGCCGCATGCGGCGTCAGCCTGGGCATTAATAGTCCGGCGCCAGCTCTGGTCGGGGCCGAATTCAGCCGCGTGTTCGGCCTCCGTGGTGTGGGACCTGGTCCACGTGACTTGCACCAGAGACGCATTATCAAGGGCCTGGGCCCATACCCATGGCTTGACAGCGCGTGACTGCTGCTTGGCCACCGCACTACAGTCGGAGGTGCAATCTGCCCGCTCCTCCAAGTGCGAGGTGACCGGTGAGCCTTGCGACCGCGAAGCATTCCCCTTCGCACACAGAACTCCCCGGGGGGAGGAGGCAGTGAGTTGGCCAACCTGGAGAGGGGCACCCTCCGTCCAGGTGAACGCGCAGATGGCCCAGGCCACTATCCTACCCCTGGCGTCGGCCGCGTAGGGCCCGCCAGAGGCGTCCGTCGAATAGAAAAGCCCCTTTGGCCACTTGGCCTCTTTGCAGACACCAACGGCCCGCTCCGACTGTGGGCCCCAGCAGTACCCCTGAAGCTGGGTGGCCTGAGCTGGCATCAGGCCCCGTTCCCATAAGCAGTCGAAGGGGAACTGGGCAGTGAGGCGTTCCCAGTGTTTGGGAGGGGGGGGTGCCTTGCCTCGCCACCATCTGCAGTCGGTGGCGACGTGGTGCTGGGTGAGGGGCACCTTGCACAGGGGGCATTGCTGGCCAGCCTGGACATGCCGGTTTTTCAGAGCTCCCTGCCAGGCCATTCTCAGGGCGGCAGACTTAATCCGCGGGGCCTTTTTCACAAGGGTTGTGGGGACCGTCGTATCCACACCTGAGGCCAGACTGCTGCAACCCGTTTGGGTGCTGATGGCCTTCCACCGGGCCTTGTGGCAGGCGCTGGTCAGGCAAGAGAGGATGGCGGACCAGTGCCTCCGTAGGAGGGGGTTGAGGGCCACCATCCCTAGGTCCTCAGGGACCCCAGCCAAGGTAGCTGGACACAGGTCGGCGGGGAATAACCAACGGTCCGGGGTGGGAGCCACAAGCCCGAGATCCAGCAGATAGGCTATCATGGCCCCCAGCGGTCCACAGACCACTCGCCATCTGTCTTTCCTTTGGAGCTGGGTAGTGAGCTGCGCCCACGTGCGCTGCTCACGGTCAGGGAGGCGGACCATCACCCGACAGAGGGCCTTAAAGTGCTGTGTGACCACTGCCACCCGGGGGTCCTTTACCAGCCAGGCGCCAAGTTCCAGCGCGATTTCGACGCTGCCCGTTCCGACCTTGCCAGTGATGGCGGCAGCTTGGAGACGCACCGATTTCATAGTTTTGGGGCTCACCCCTTGGGCCTGGTGTCCCCAGATCCCCGATGCCAGCACGGACATGGAAAACACCCGGCTGCTGGCCTTGATGTTGCGGACCTTAAGGCTGCGTAGCTTGCCCGGTCTGGCATTGGCTTTAGTCCGCCGCGCCGTGGAGAGGCGGGTGCACCGTCTCCTGCCAGCTGACAGCGTCATGCCCAGGTCTTTGGCAACACTCTGAATGGGGGGGTCACCCTCACCCAATTTTCGCCGCAAGGCGCGCTCAAATGGGATTTTCCTTCCGAGCGAGCAGAAAAGTCGCAGCTCCTAGGCCATAAACAAACTACAACTACACTGATCTACAGAGACTACCTGTCTACGGAAGCCTCGCCCCGGCACTCGAAAGTAGCGGGGCAAAGCTGTTGCACGGACGGTGAACTCTGGACCAAGCGTAGTCAAGGCAGGTAAGTGGTTCGACATGCCACGAATATCAACGGGCATGCAGGCACATCGAAGTCGCACCTGGCACAGCAAATTTCAGACAGGAAGCCCAAGTTGACAAGGGAGGGCTTCGCAGCTGAGACTTCAGTCCTTCCAAGAACCGCGGCAGCAGCAAGCGCCTATACACACCGGTAACTACCAGCAGCCTGTACAATCTGTACAACCCCCAGTGGTATGAACATGCGAAGTGTCCACACCACGGAGGGATCATGAGCATTATAAGCAAGAAAGGATAGCAGGACCTCATAGGAATGACCCCCTGGAGTCAGCGCATCAAGGCAACTAAAGCTGTAGCATTTGCGACAACATGCAAGTTGGGACTGCTCACACCGTGTGGTGGCAGCAGCCAAACGCTCACAGGCCAGACTGACAGCTTAGCCTAGAAAATCCGGGAAGCCAACCCGGGCCCACAAGGACCAACGGCTTCACTCCCTGAAGGCCCGAAGTCGGGTGGTATACGCATGACTGGATATGCAATTTTTTGGGTGCAGCATTCAAGCGCACACCAGCAAGGGTAGGGTTAGGGCACTACTTATGGCATCAACTTGGTCGCCTAGTCTGTTGCACACAACAGCAGGCAAGAAAGAGGAGACGCCGACAGGTCACAGCCCCAACACTAACCCAGACAAAACCCAAAACCACCCATCATAAAAGGATTTGAAAGTTTTCGGGTGCAGCAACTAGCGCACACCGGCATCGGCGGAACATGTATTATCATTTCTTTTTAAACATCAACATCGATTGCTTCAGCTTCGGCGGGGCCGGAACATCGGTCTGATGTGATTGGGCACCTGGTTCCGGCTGATGTGGAGCAACCGCGTCAGGTGCATCACGGATTTTGGTGCCAAAGGGAACGCGTGCTTTGGTTTTGTCAAGGCCAACCATTGGTCCTGAAGTGAGAGTTCGCTGCTGGACATGTGCTTGCTTTGCATGGTGTCCAGACTTTTTAGTGGTACCTTTACACGGTTCAACTAAGGCTTTGACAGCATCCTCCGAAACCGGCCTCTGAAGTTTTTCACACTTAGTGCACATCCAGTAAACCCCTAGATTAGTCATAGTATGACTGGGATGGATGCGCCACTCGGTCGGCATCGCTCCAGGGTGGTCCTTACAAGGATGGCTCATCAATCTATCGAATCGGTTCTGTGACAGAGTCTGTTGGACATACAGACCACAATGATCACATCGCATGGTGAGGTTGGTAGAACCCTCAGACCCCAGGACCCATTTATGACCTAGCATGTCACCTAAGCCCTCGATGCATGCCTTCATTCGCTGCCGCTTATTAGGCTTATCAACTTTAGGCTTTTGGAAGACGGGACTAGGAATGACTGCAGTGGGTTTGGGGGGCTCCCTTTCCAAAGAAGGCCTCTTGAGGATCCAAGGTAGCAACCCCGACTTCTGATTTTTAAGGATGAAAGTGACGGTCTTAGCCAAATGCATGGACACTTCACGGCACACAGCATCCGCTTGCTTAAGCCATGATGCATGATCACACGAAAAGGCCTCAGCCGATCTGCCTCGGCATATAGAATCGACATCGTTATTAATAAGCCTTCTCCATTCAGGTAGGCCTTGCTAATGGAAATGCGATTGGTCTTTGTGCGAAGGCACCCACACCGCATGTGATCGATGCCTTTGGGCCCAAACATCATTCCACGGGATGGGACCTGTTTGAGGCGGGGCATGCTTTTGCAGCAGCTGAGTCGCACTTAGACAATCGACGGTAACGTCGAAGTTGCCCGAAACTCTGCTGTAAAGTTCAAAGAGTGCACGTTGCTCGGCAAGAGGCACAGTGAGATGTTTATCAAGGCATGAAATGCTTGCTACTCGCTTTGGTCCCTCTGGCGACAAGGTATACGCAGCAATGGCCCAAGAAACGCAACGCAAACGATCATCAGTACTACCTGGACCCCCTGAGGCATCGGTTGCGAAAACAAATTTCTCGCCTTCTAGAACGCCCCCGTCCTGCCACAAACCTTCCATGCGGAGCTCACTCACATGGGCTGACGGATCGGGCAAAGCAGTCCGAGACCAAGGTGGAAGGCCCCGAAGCCAGAGACTTTCCCAAGGAAATGTTAGACGGTATTGGGCAAAATGGTCAGGCGTGGGACATTTGGCAAGTACAGCTGGACACTCCCACAAAACATGCTGTAAACTCAGCTTGCACTGGCATCTGCTGCAGTAACCAGGCTTGGCCTCGCTGATAAGTGCACCCTGCCAGAGCGCCTTAAGGCTTACAAGGGTACTCGGGTTGAAAAACTTGTTCTTCATTAGTTTTTTGGGGACGGTTAGGTCTACCCCTTGGACAAGAAGTTGACAGCCTTCCAAACAAGAGATGCGCTCATTGACCTGGGTCGTTTGGAGCCTACCCAGCCATTGCAGGATGAGCCTGCATGTATCACGCGAAGTCCATTGCAGTTGCAGCGCTGTGGCTCCATGCACCCACCTACAGGGATCAGAGGCATCCACATTCAACTCGCTAAGATAGGCTTGTGTGGCAGCAAGGGGTCCAGCTACCCGACGCCACGGGTCTTTGGTTTGGTGGATCCTGTGCCATTGGGAGCGCCAAGCACTATGAAATTTCTCAACATCATGAACCGCCCATTTGTGAAAAACCCTAACCACAGCTTTGACATGCTGCGTAAGGATCGTAGTAAAAGGATCTTCACAAATGTGCCCCATGACTTTGAAGGTTAAGTCTAAGGAACCCAATTTTTGACGTCCAAGGTGTTTGGCGGTGATGGTGCGATACCATCTGCCGCGCTTCGGCGAAACTCCAATCGCCTGATGGCCGAACAAACCTGTCATGGAGATCGATGCTCTAACTATCCTTAGTCTATGACGTTGGCCTGGGATGCGCAGCCTACTAAGCTGAGTGTTGCGGACTGTGGCACGCTGGCGTCGCTGCTCTGCTAAACCTAACAACCTCCTCCTAACACCTCCCGAGGTAATGCCTAAATCCCTGGCAAAGGGCTTGATCTCCGGATCTGTTGGGCAGCGATGTTTCTTCAGTGCCGCGACTGTCTGTGAGGAGGTAGCCACAAAGCAAGTTTTGTCCAAGGAAATGCTGGCACCTCTTGCATGTAAAGACGACCGCAAAGATCTGAAGAGTTTGATGCTGGTGCGCGCCGCAGTGTCCGCTGAAAAATCAACCGTATCTAAACTAAGATCATCCACCCAAACATCCAAGTTCGTGGTGCCTGTCTTAGAAGAAATGGAAGCAGCGATCGGGTGAATGATGAGTTTCGCGATTGATGGCGCGGCTGGGCAACCTGCCAGCACACCTTGAGTAGGTGTGATCTGTGGTGCCAAAGCACCTTCAGACTGCAAGAATCTGGGAGCTGAGTACACAAGCCAGGCCTGATGCAAAAGTAATGGCGGATAGTCGAGTTCCAATCCTGCCTGGAGCATGTCTTGGAACCTGCATCGATCGTAGAAATTTTCTAAGTCCATAAAAATGGACACCATGTGGGACTTGGCGAGCCGGGAGGCCTCGCCCCTCATTAGACGTCCCAACGCAACGTCAAGCACTTGGGATCCTGGCATTGCTTTATCCCATACTGCTTTTTTGGAGTACATGACTTGCCACTCCTCTATGAGGCTCCACCGTAAACGGATATAAGAGCGGTACAGGAAGTGAAGAAGGGCTATTGGCCTTTCCTTCTTAGCACTCTTCGGAAGAAGGGAAATGAGAGCTACTGCGATTTGGGCTGGCCATTCCGCCTGGAGCTCGCAAGTACGCAAGAAGTTGAGCACAGCTTGTGTGGCCTCAGCCGACATGTTACGAAGCATGTCAGCCGACCAACCGTCGATGCCTGGGGCCTTTTTGGCTGCTTTACGAAAGTACGCGGTGGCCCGCTGCACTGAAATGGGAGGTAAGGCTTGAGCCTGGGCGATGGCTCGCCTCCTAACCTCCGCCGCCAAGTTGCTGTCGACCTCACCTGCATTAGGGTTGCACCACACTTCGTGCCATTGACGCCACTTCAAATAAATGCGCTCCTGAAGTGGGGCTGCAAGGAAGGGCCTTAAAGTTTTGCTTTCATGTTGTTTGACACTCTGAAAAAGGGGTCTCATGCCTCCGGTGGCTGCTTGCTCCAACCACTTTTTATAGGATTTGGATTTATCCTGCATCCATTCCTTTGTGATCTGGGTCAACTGCGTTTTGGCCTGTGGCAAAAGCGTCGCAACAACTTCAAAGGAAGGCCCTGCCGCGTCGGAGCCTATGAGGTCGATGAAAGGTTGCGATTGGTCCTCTGTGCCATGCCAAAATTCTGCAATCTGAGCAGCAACGTGCTGACCCATAGGGCAAGGCTGGGGCGTTTTCTGACAAACTTCTAGCCACGACACAAGTCGTGACCAAAAGGCGTATTGGTGCCCACACCACCCGCCTTTAGGCCTACCTTGTAACGGCAAAGGGGCCCTGATCACCTGAATGCACACACCTCTGCCCTGGACCTGGCCAAAGACCGAGCGCTCCACGGCTGAAGACAGCTCTCCAAACTGTTGGGTCAGCGTGGCATTTTGTGGGGACAGCCCGAGTACATGAAGCTGGTGATCGACAGGCCGAATTTCAAAAGGCTGCTCATTGACGGGAAGCGGCTTAAAGGGCTTCAGTTGAGGGATGTTAAGGATGACATCCGAGACCTGGCATTCCCACTCCAAGGCAGCGTGAGGCTTGAAGGGCGTAAGCCACTGCGTTTTAACCCCAACCAAGTGTGCCAGAGACCTCGACACAAGACCGAAATCAAGACGGCCTCCACTGGCAATAGTGGGCCCCTCAGGTGCGATCCAAGCACCTTTGGATTCAGCTGCAATGTTGGTCGTTGCAAGTGTCTCAAAATCATCATTAAAATCCCCGGCAGCAAGGAAAGAACCACGAACTGATGCCAGGAAGGGAATGAGACGGCTGAGGACAGCAGCATTGGTGGGGCTTTGGAAGCCTTCACCTGACTTTAAGTAAACGCTTACCAAGTAAAGGTCGGTCCCTTTGACCCGCATGGCAACCGAAAGGAACCCCGCCCCTTTGTGCGAAAATTGTGTAACCTCCCGAACATCAAGGTGCTTCTTGACACACACCGCCAACCCACCTGAAAAACCACCGTTACCTGTGGCCACGGCTGGGAGGATGAACGACTGGAAACCTCGGGAACCAACAGCATTGGCCAGCTGTTCCCCTTTATCCTCAGGAAGATGGGTTTCCTGGAGGAGAAAAGCATCACACGCCTGTTCAGACATCCAGTGTGCAATTTCTTTGCGCCATTTCGTGATGTTGGCGCTAGTGATATTGAGGTTCCTGACGCGATCGGGCTTGCCCAAATTGGCAATGACATCTGCTATTGCTGAAATGGCCGGCGCCGGGTCATCGCCGTGGCATGCCTGCAGAGCGAGATCGGCTGCAAAATGCGGGAAACTACCCTCCTGAAGATACCCAGCTTCTTCTAACCGGGATACAAGGTTTACAATCTCCTTCTCTGTCACAGGCTGCAAGGCCCGCTGTAATGAATGCCACATAGCAAGTAGTTTTGCATCTGGACGGCGGGACTGCAAATTGGCATTATTTTTCCGAGTGCCGCCAGCAGGGCGCACATCGGGCATGGAAATTTGGCCTGAAATGCCAGTGTTCCCAACCGGTCCCCCAGGACCCTCTGGCCTTCGGCCCACCTCCTCCGGGAAAAAACTCCTACTCCGGGTCATGACCTCCACCTCCTGGGTCCTGGGGGCTCCCTGCTCAAAATGCAGGGGCTCTATTGAAGTGGCCACTGAAGTTGTGCATGTTTGATCGATACAGTGCAGCCCAGCTTGTGCAGCAAGTCGGGCCCAACGATTATGACGACGCCTCGTGCGCCTCGAGACTGATGCCGGCAAATGGCAACGCTCATTATGTGATGCAGCCCTGGCCTCAACCCCCGAAAACCCGGAAACTAAACTCACACTGTCAAGGTTGATTTGCACATCAGAAGCGGAATCACCAAAAGACTCGGCCGAGAAAAAGGCTGGTCCAGAGATACAGACAGCCGGTGCGACCGGTTCGGCATGATGTTTAAGGAGCCTATCACGCTTGATCAAGCACACTGTGCAAAACTGCTCTGCATCACAGATGGCCTCAAGAAGTGTTGCCGACGGCTGCGTTGCCAAGACACTACGGCAGGCACTGACAAACTGCTGCACACAATCCTGCGAATGCGAACTCAAAGTTGGCTCCTCACCGCAACACGAACACAGTCGGATGTGCTGCAAATCTGCTGGGGTGGCTGCTTCGATAGCCGAATCTTCCTGGAATACGGGGACAAAGCCTCGCCTGGAAGTTGAATGCAACACTGCATGATCACCAGCTCGGCCTCGAACAGCATCAGTGGACATAGGCATGAGTGGAGTGCAGCCGTACCGGCGCACTTCCACGGGAAAAATCGTGGCTGGTGGACCCTGCTGTGAAAAAGCACGCAAATTGGGGACAGGGGGGGCCTCGACACCCAACGACTTGGCGCAAGTCCCAGCACACGGGTCCGGGATGGAAATACTTGGACCCTCCTCAAGCCTACAGGCCTGGAGATCCCCCGACCGTTGTACATCAAATTGATAGCGTTTGTGCAGGCCACTTCGCACCTCTTGATTCGGAATGCAGTGCAGGCAAAGGGCTGGCAACAAGGGGCTAAGGCACAGGGAGGGCAACGCAAGGGGTCGGCAGCACACACAACACAATTCGAGACATGGTGGCAGCGCTGTCCCTCTTACCAAGTCCGAAACCCTATCCAAAGGCCCAGCAAACCATCCCTTCACCGACATGGGCTCAACGTGGGATGAGCTCGCGACGTGGGAAGCAGTGGCACAGCTTCTAGCCGACGCCTCGTGCAAGCAGAAGTTGCAAAGTTTAATGCTGTCATACCCAACATGATAACTCACAGTTCGTGAGACATTCAAGGGAGCACTGCATACCAAACAGACCTCGTGAGTGAAATTGCAGCTGCCAACGATCTCATCCGAAATCACATTTGCACTGCCAAGCTGAGTTTGGGACGCCTGGTCGGTCTCCGTGACCGTAACATGTGGATGAATCCATTCTCTTGCACTAACAAAGCGCGCTGGTCCTGTAAGCTCGGGCGGAGAGAACCCGGCCGAACCTGAAACAAACTCACTGCAAAACTGGGGTGAATGCACAACGGACTTGTCCGATCGTACAGTGCTACCAAGCGCAAAACAGGGCTCCAGATGGGATTGCAGGGCCGGGGACCTCAACTGATCAGAGCTTTGCAGAGGACTGGCACCGACAAGATGCAACCGGCTATGACCGCAGGTCTGCGAAACTGCAAGATCACAAGACAGATCCCCAACCCCAATCCCTAAACCCTACGCCTGCATCTGCTGCGGACCTCCCGCCGGGACCTGAGAAGCCACCTGCCCCAAGCCGGGCGGAGCTGACGTGATCCCTTCAGGACTCTTTGCATCGTGCTTGCGCTTCTTGATGGCATGACCTTCCTCCACAGACTTCAGCTTATCAATCTGCTCTTGGGTCAAAGTGATGCCAGCATCAGCAATCAGCTGCAACAGCGTGGTATCCTCAGCGGATGCTTCCTCAGATGGATCCGTCAAAACAGCCTGCTTAAACTGTTCCGAGACCTTGGCAACTTCAGCCTGGGCTTCAGAAATCTGGGAAAGCAACTCTTTCATGGATTCCAATTGTTTGCGTAGCTTCATCTTCGTGTCATCAATGCAAGACTGAAGCTGAACTTTCTTATGCCCCAGATCACGCAACCGCAGCGTGCTCGTCTTGTACTCCCTGGATGCACACACAGCTGCCTCCTGGGGAGTCTCCTTGGGCTCTGCTTCATGCAATTTGTCCTTAACCTCCTGTGGGAGGGCAGCCTCGTGAGAGCGCAGCAAGGCGAGCAGGTCATCTTCTTTGGGAGGCTCCGGGGGTTTAACCCCTGCGCTTGCCAGTTCCTTCTGCACTTCGGGAGCAAGCTTCTCCCACAATGACTGCAGTGCACGGTGTACAGTACCGTCCTGATTGATGCCCCTCTGGCCCTTCTGCTTCTGGCGCGTTGCCAACCCTCCAGGGCGCCACGTACGCTGCAATTCTGTATCCTCCTCCGGAGCCTTTCTGGCAGGCTTGGTCCAGAGGCTCTTGGGCCAAGCCTTTCCACACTGCTGACAGCAAGGACGCTGGGCCCCTATTCTGTCTGTCCAGATCCATGCCCCGCATGAGCAGACAGAGTAAGACCGACGCGTCTTGCCTCCTGCCATGATTGCTCTGGGTGTTTGCAAGAAAAACTCCTCACTGTACTTTTGCAACAAGTAAACGGGCAATTTTGCAAGGCCCAAAATCCAAGAAAATTCTGCACAAGAAAACAAGGATTGGTTCACAAGGTGCAAGAAGAGTTTGCAAGCGGTTTCAAGCAGTGGTTCAAGGAACTATGGCACTACGCTACTGCACTTCAGCCGGAGCTGGGACTGCCGCTACCCCTGCGCGCCCGTGCGGGTCAGCCCGCCTACGAGGAAACACAGAGATTGGTTTTGAGGTCTCTTGAGGGCCCACCCTTAGATACGGCCTCAGGAGCCCAGCCACGACGGCAACAGCGCGGCGCTCGCCACTTGAACCACAACAGCTTGAGCCAAATGGGATTTTCTCTCGAAGCGGTCTGCAGACGCGGCTCCAAGGCCAGGTGAAAAGGACCTACAAACTAAAGCAACACAGATCTACAGAGCAAACTGTCTACGGAAGTCTCGCCCTGTCACCCGGAGGTAACAGAGCGAGACTGTTGCACACAGAGTTCTGGACCTTGCGTTGCAGCGCAAAACGGTGCACGAGCCACGAATATCAACGGGCATGCAGGCAAGGTGCACCGCATTGCACACTCTCAAAGGAGCCAGAGTAGAAGCTCGGCACAAGGGACGTAAAGTCCAGTACCAGGTCACTTGCCCAGTCGCTTCGTCCAGAGCCCAGCCACTCTCCAAAGACCAGCAGCAGCAGCATTTGTACACTTTGTACAACTAGCCAAAAGCTACAGCCAGCCTAGCAACACTACACCTACCGCTACTGTACACAACGCAGCTAGCAGTGGTATGAGCACGCCTAGTGCTCACACCACTCCCTGCATCAGCAGCCAAGGGAGTAGCCTCCATTCACGTGTCACTGAACCCACTGCTCAGACGGAGACTCGATGCCGGCTTTTTTCAGTCCAGCCGACATTGGACTACCCAAACAGCATGCCTAGCTGCCATCAAGAATGGCCTGAAAAGCGAGACCTGAGGTCACAGAAGGCCCAAAGTCGAGTACAAGTGGCATATTCATCAGAAGTTCTGCAGCATTGACAAGGGCTGTGGGAAAGTTGGGTGTTACAGGCGCAAATCAAGACTTTCCAAGTTTGCCGTTTTGGTGAGTTCAAGTCCTGACTATAAGGGTGCAGCCAACAGGGCGCACACCTAGGCTCAGAAGAATTGCCACAATCCATTTGCCCTGGTAACGAAAAGCTCCAGGTGGAACATTCCCCATGAGGCCCGGAGACGGGAAAGGCATATTCACCAACCAGGCAACCTGTGTGTTGGGTGCAGCATGCCAGCGTACACATCCAACTTCAGCTTTAATCTGCATTTGGACCCTCCTCGCACACGAGGCCACCAAAGGGATCATAGTAGTCCGGATTTTTTTTTTTTTGTAAGGGTGCAGCCAACAGGGCGCACACCTATGCAGCAGACCCCAGGCTTTAGCTGTTACAGTGGAAAGCAGCCTAAATAGGTTGCACTCCCAGCGAGGCCCGAGTCGGGTACAAGGCATCTTCATCAACCAAATTGAACGACAGGCATTACGGGTGCTGGCGACAGCGCACACCGATGCATTATCAAAGGAATTTAACCCTGGACATGTGTCCAAACCATCAAAGACGTACTCCCCACAAGGCCCGAATTCGGGTGAATGGCATATTCATCAACCCAATTGTAAATTTTTGGGTGCAGCGGGCAAGCGCACACCAGCTGGGGACTTGCCAAGTGGGGACTATGTTATGACACCGACCTTCAAAGGGAACCTTTCAAAAGGGCTTCACACCGCCTACTTGAAGGAAAGACGTGTTTGTTGTGCGGAGTCTTTGGACTTTGCTTTGGGTTTCCCTTTGGGTTTAGCATTTGCCTTAGCTTTACTAGCAGGTTGTGGTACTTGGGCATTGGTTTCACTAGCAGCAACCTGGGGCTGACTTTGTTGCCAGACTGCCTCGATTGATCTGCTACCAGAGCTCTCCACTACAGACAAAGTGCGCGCCTGTGTTTTGGAGTTGATCTTGCGTCCGAGGCCTTGGCAGGGAGCTTGAAGCACCGCTGAAACTGAGGTTGATGCGATTTTTGCAATGCCAAGACACGTAGTGCAGGTGAAAAACGATCCTTTGTTATCCATGTTGTGAGTGGAATGTACTTTCCAAGACACAGGCATACAAGCTGAAATGTTCACACATGGGTGGGACGATTTGCGATCGAAAATTTCAAGAGAGTTGCATTGTTCAATATACAGTTGGCACACAGTGCATTGAATAGCAAAGTTATTGACCGCTTTAGTTTCGCAAGCTTTCCAATCATGACCCAAAGTGGAATCAGGGTGTGCCAACATAGCCTGCAACCTCTGTTTTTTGTTGGGCTTCGGTGGGACCTTAGGCTTAACAAAAGCTTGTCCCTGCCTTACCAAGTGTTGCCTCTCTGCGTCACCCGACACAGGCCTGTTGACAGGGCATCGAACGGCCTGGGATGCAGCACGATGGGGCATGGCTCGTTGGGACTGTGACTCCCGCTGACTGGCTAATCTCGCCGCTCCTCGTTTTTCTTCAAAAACCAAGGGGGCAGGATCTTTTTTGGAAGTCAACAAAAGCTCCACACGTTCCGCAAGAAAAGTCGAGATCTGCTGAGCTAGACGGTCCAACTCCTGCACATCATTTTTAAAGTTGACATCAACAAGGGTTGCAGCAAGCTTACCACATTTATCATCAGCTAAAGTGTTTGCCTTCATGCGCCACAACTGGTCAGCCCCAAACTCCTTTTTGAAAGCATCTGCAGATTGGTGCGACCGAACCCAATGACAATCAAGATTATCAAGTCTATGGGATTTCTTAATGGCCGTTTGACAGTCACATGTGACATCTGCAAAGCCATCGACATTATCAGCTAGGAGTCGCAACGCATGTGTTTCGCCTTCTGCAACCGACGAGCCGACTGGAAGAAAACCTGTGATTGATGCAACGCAGGTGAGCTCATCACCTTCTTTAGTAAGAGCCAACAGCGCAAAGGCAACGATACGTAAACGGGAGTCAACACTATCCGGCCCTCCTGAGGCATCAGTGCTGAAAACATAAGACGATGCACTCAGCTTGCTGTTGGTCTTCCATAGACCTTCGCGTTGCAAATGCAAGGAAGACTCTGGACGATGCTGCCTCGTCCACTTTTGGGGCACAAGCCCTCGCTGCCACAAACTGTCCGAAGGCCATTTTTGCTTGAGCTCAGCCCAATGTTCAGGTGGGTCGCGATGGCGCCCGGCCCAGTAATTGCATTCAAGGAGTACGTGCGACCATGAAGCATCGCAATGGCAGAGCGGGCATTGTTGAGTGCCCCCATTTTGGTTATGAAGCACTGCGCCTTGCCACAAAGCTTGAAGCCACTTCGTGGTGCGCTTGTGTTTGGTTTCACGCTGTGTTCTGGTCCTGTGGCTGGCCCAATCAACACCGTCGGCAAGGAGAGGGTCATCCACAAACGCCGCAATACGGGCATGCCGAAGTTGTAGAAGTTTTGCTTTAACCCTCTCACACAGGAGTGCCTTAAAACCGGGTTCCTTCCAAGTGCAGGCAAAATCCTCACCATCCCAGTTCCAATGCTCCAAACTGTGAGCATCGATCTCAAGTTGCATGAGATAGGCTTGCGCAGCCGCCATCGGGCCAGAAACACATTTCCACGGGTGCGGCGAAGCCTGGAGTCGGCTCCACGTGCTGCTCCAAGAAGTTTTGAGCTGACCCCACAGTGTCTCCTGCCATCGAAGAAAAACCTTAGCAACCGTGGCAAAGTGCTGTGTTAAGATAGTGATAAGAGGGTCCTCAAACTTGCTATGCAAATCGAAAAGCAAATCAAGGCTGCCAAGCTTGTGTCGCTGCAACTGCTGCGCAGCACACCCTCGCAGCCACTTCAAACGCTTCGGAGAAATACCCTGAGCCTGATGACCCCAAGCAGCTGAGGCGAAAATGCCTCCTTTGTACAGTCTCCACTTGTGGGACAAGGAGGGAACTTTGAGCGATCGCATACGCCCTGATCTGGCCTGGCCCTTTGCTTGACGAGCCTTTGCAACTGTAATCCTGCGACGACGTGCTGCAGAGTAATCCGTTCCTAAGTCGCGCGCTAGGGACATGATAGGCGGGTCGTCAGGGCCTAAACGCTTTTTTAAAGATTTTTCGGATGGTGAATCCGTGCAGACAAAACACGTTTTTGCGATGGACATGTGGAGTCCATCCTGCTGCAAGGCATGCTTCAACAAGTGGTATGATTGAACAGCCCGATGTGCCGTCTTCTCTGCTTGAGCGCCTTCAGTATCTACACTGACATCGTCCAACCAAGCCGTGATGTTGTCAGCAAGTTTGGACTTGTGCAATGAAGAAAGGCTCGGGAACAGTGCCAGTTTGGCAATTGCTGGCGCATAGGGGCATCCGGCCATGAGGCCGGATGCCCCGAAGCATCTGGGCGAAACAACACTATCCGAAATGATGTATCTGGCCCCTCTGTAAACTTTCAAGGCAGTGTCGGCACACAGTGGCGGAAAGTTATGCAGCAGGGCCTGCTGGGCAACCAGTTCATGTGATACTGATTCATAATAAGTTTGAATATCTATGAAGAGAACTATCCGACTTAGCTTTCTGGCCCTTGAGAGTTCTGCTTGCAGCAGACGCCTGATGCTGACATCAAGTGTGCTTTGGCCCGGTACAGCATGCTCCCAAGGGGCTTTATGAATGAATGAAGCAAGCCATCGATCAACTTCAGAAAACCTCAGTTTCGCCCACAATCGGTACGACGAACTGCACAAAGCAATAGGCCTCTCGACTAGGAGATTCTTAGGCAACATGGTTATCAAGGTTGTCAGCCAGTGCTCCGGCAAAATCCCATCACACTCTATGCGATGGAAAATTTTTAGTAAAGCTTCTAGCGCCTCATCCGGCAAGACCTTGAACTGTGCGTAGCTCCAACCATCGGCTCCCCCAGCTTTGTTGCTGAGCTTGCGAATCCTTTGCTTGATTTGTTCAAGGCTCAAGGGAGGTAGCTGTGCCGCGTGCTCCCGGGCTACTTGCTGAAGCTGAGAGTCGAGCTCCGGTAGAGGCGACGGTTGCGCCTTCCACAATTTGCTCCAGAACTCCAGCCTAAGGAAAGGCCGAAATTCCAACGGACGATCAAGAAAAGGCCTTTCATTTTTGGCTTCTGGATTGCTGAGTGCTCGGAAGAGGGGCCTCATTCCAGCTTTCATGGAAGACTGAAGCCAAGACTGATAATCCGCACTTTGGTTCGAAAGATGCAACTTCCGAGCATGGCGCTGCTGTCGGGACGTGGCCTCAACCCAAGCGGCATCCGGCTCACAGCCGGTGAGCATGTCAAGGGCCTGAGCCTGCCATTGGTGAAAGGGCAGGTTGCCAACATCAGCCCAATGGGTGTCAGCCTGAGCTAAGAAAGTCTCCTGTTGTTTAGAAGGATTGCTCTGGAAGGCTCGAAAATTTTTGGACCACGCAACGATGCGATCCCAGAAGGATTCGGCATGTCCCTTCCACAGTCGGTGTGGGGCAGACGAAGTCACCAACGGCTTGGCCTGAATCACAAAAGAACTGCCAGGAAAATTATCGAAAACCCCACAAGACGCGGCCGCATCTCGGGACCAGGTCGCAAACACACTAGTGATATCAGAAATGTGCTGGCTGCCCTCCCACAAGACCTGACAGCGGGAGGCAGACTGGTTGAAAGATTGGTTTGCGCCTTCAAGCTGTTTGAAACGGGGCAGTTGCGGAACAGCAATGGTGCAATCAGCTACCAGCGCATATTCAACAAGAGCATGAGGGCGAAAAGGCGCTGCCCAGTCAAGGCTCGGCTTAAAACACCCTGATAAGGAATGGCAGATCAAGGCATAATCAAGGCAGGCACCATGGTCAGTCGTTGGTCCGCCAGGGGATAACAACAAACCTCCGGCCTCGGTGGGAATGGCAGTGGCTTGCATCTCCTCAATTGGGAGATTAAAATCGCCCAAAATTATCCACGGCACAGCAAGACACCGGACCGTGGCGAGCAAAGTGGCAACAATAGTGCAATTGGGCTCGGCCTGCAAAGAGCAACCAGTCTGCAGATAAAGATTGATGACAGCCAGAGTCCACCCTTTCAAGCGAAAATGGTCGACAAGAAAACCGCAACCTTCAGCAAGAAACTCAAAAGACTGGTATACATTATGATGAGAAGCCGAGATGGTGACCAATCCTCCGCGGACGCCCTGTTGCTTTCCTTTGCTGCCGGCACCAAAATGGCTTGAAAGGCCTCTGGCCGATAGCCACGTTTTTGATTTAGGGACGTCCTGAAGGAGGTGGGTTTCCTGAACACACAGGAGGGCGGGCATTGGGGATAGACCCGCAATCCACCCTTTAAACTTAGGGCCCCAGGTGGTGATGTTAATTGAACAAATCCGCAAAGGTTTGGGTTGGGCCTTAGTTTGGGACCGCGCAAGTTGTTTGGCAGCTGCGATGGGCCATGCAGGGTGAGCCTCTTCAGCCAAGCATTCACAGATGCGATGCCCTGCCCACCATTCCAAGGAGGACTCATCAAAATTAGCTTCAATGCTCTCAACTGATTCAAGAAGCTGCCCTTCAACACTGGCAAAATCTGTCATGGCACCTGACTCAAGCAAGCTTAAGACGTGGCCCCAATCAACTTTAAGATCATTTGGTTTGTGCTGCCGGGCTGGGATACACGACACCAAAGACTCACTAGACTCCTGATGGGAGTCCCGCCCATTTGGACCTGCAGAGAAATCCGGATGCTGCCGCGATACATGTGATGGTTGCGAGGGAGTGCTGCCAGCAGGGCACACATCCTGAATCGAAGTAGACCTCAACCTCCGTGAATGTTTGATGCCGGGTATTGACTTCAAGGGCTCTATTGGTGCATCCGGAGCGGCTAAACCCGAAATTTCCCCTTCACTGGCAACTGCTGGCATTGCTGAAACTCCTGCAGACCCTTCTTTATGTGAAAATGCATTTTCTCCTAAAGATGGGTAGGAGGACGGCGCTAAAAGCAAGGGCTCTATTGATTCAAGAAAACCGGATGCCTCAAGGACAGCATCTGAATCTGATCCCGCGTGATAGGCCAAGCAATAAACGCACTCATCATGCATCTCATGCACTAGGTCGTCAAGGTCCTGCAGCTCATAAAGCATTTGCGCAGTTTGGCACGCCATAGTGAATCCTACAACCTGCGGCTCTCGACTGAACGCGCATGCTGGCTCACACTCACATCTCAAGCACATGATCGGGTTCATGCCCGGAGGTCGTTCAAGTCTGCCTGGATATGCAATTTTCCGAGTGCCGCCCTGAAGGCGCACATGGGGCAAAACAAAGTTGTGGTCTTCTGCTGGTTCTAGAACACCTGACTTAACACAACCATGAAAATTAAAAACCCATCTACCCTCGGACATCAAACAAGGGTGCTGGGGATGCCCCAAAAAGTGATTTATGACTGTAGACCCTGCCACACACAGGGCGGGGAGAAAGGGTTCGGCAGGGTCTACAGTAGGGTCAAAAGGGCCATTTACGGGTGTTCTGGGGGCCTCTGGCACAGAAACAGGGAAATTAAGCGAAGCATCAAGCGAAGCCAATTGATGCTGTTGCGCCATGCGAAGTCTGCTATTGAAATGCCTGCGAGTACGCCTGGATGCAGAAGCTTCGGTCGCGTCGGAGTGATTGCCACAAAAGGCAGCAAGGCCAAAAGAGGCACCGAAATTGGGGTTAGGGCCCAAGACCTGGGAAGCACACGGGTTCGGGAACGGAAATGAAAAACCTGAGCCAGGTTTCGAACTCAGAAGACAATCAGAGGCGGAGACATTGCACGCCTCACGCCGTTTGGCTCGGTTGATGCGCCTACGAGTGCGCCTGGACTTGGCCTGAGGCTCATCCCCAAGGTGAGTGGCACCACAGAAATTGGGGTTTGGGTCCAGCACACGGGAGGAGCGCGGGTTAGGGCGAGGAAATGAGAAATTGCGGCCCGGACCTGATGATTGCGGGGCGGGGTCACTCCAAGCCGAAGCGGATCCGGCAGCCCCAACCCAATCCTCGGAATCAAAAGCCTCTGCAGGGAAAAACAAGGGGCCTGTCAGGGATTTTGCACAACTGTTGGCAGAAGAACTCAAATTGTGGCATGCCCTCGACCATTTACCCAGACATGTGGCACACAACTCAGTACAGACCTGCAGCACCTGAGCCAGCTCCGCACGCGGCTTGGTATGGTAAGCATGCCTGCAGGCTTGAACAAAGCTGACTGCCCCTGGATCCGATAAAGATGCTAAGGTCGGGTGGTCACCACAGCTGCTGCACACACCCAGCTGAAAACCTGAAATGTCGCACCCCAGCTCGGCCTGAGAATCGTCACACTTAGAGGCAGTGGTTGGAGTCATGCTTACGTTGGCAACCGCCGCTCCATTCTCAGCTGGAGAGCTGTTCACAAGCAGCAAATTGGGGTTAGGGCCCTCAAGCAGAGGGGATACACACTGGTTCGGGAGGGAATACGTGCCTGCAAGTTCGAAGATCCTGTGCACAGGTTGACCCGAAGACACATAGGGATCAAGAAGGAGCCTGCGGCAAAATTTTTTAAAGCCAGGCCTCGGGACTCGGAATGAGAAAACTCTGTGCACAGGTGGGCCTGACAGCACATACGGATCAAGAAGACAGCACCTGAGGAGCCTATATTGCTCACCTTGGTTGGGCAGGCAGCTATGGCACACTGGCAAAAGATTAGGCATCAAGCCTGAAACCGACTCCGATAACGGCATGTGGCAGCTGGCACAACAAAAGTCCTGACATGTCTGCTGCAAGCTACTGTTTACCAGACCCAGCTCCAAGCCCGAAAGCCTAAGGAAACCAGCAAGTGCAAACGAGGGCTCAAGGTGGACACCACAACCCTCTCTGGGGAAAAACTGCCTTTGGCCAGCACAGTTTGTGTCCGACGCCGCCGTAGGCCGGAGATGGAGCGCAGACGGCGCCTGGGCCGCACAATACGCGCAAAATTCACTTGCAGAGTCAAGAAGCTGCCGGTGACATACATGTGATGCGACTGACAGAGAGAAAGCTAGAGGCGATGCACAACTCAAGCAGGTATTGATGTGCCACACTTCGCCCCCAACAGATTGGTCCTGAACGGGAGCTGCACTGCAGTGGGGCAGGGCCACTGAAGAAGGCACTTGATCAAAGGAATTTTTAAAAACCCTGGCACCCCGAAAATCAAGCTGCAAGTCACAAAACCCTTCTGGCTGACCCGGGGCGCCTGCGAACTGCTCAGAATGCAGGCTGGCAGGAGAATAAGGTAAGACTTGGGACAGCGGAGTAGCGGTTGAGGCCTGAACTTTCGGATGCACCAGATCATCTGTTTGCACAAAACAAGAACGGCTTCTACCTCTGACCAAGGAAACAGCCGAAGGCCCACACCCAATCACAACTCCTAACCCCAATCCCTAACCCTGAGTTCGGCCCCGACTGCGCGAGCGAGGCTTCTCATCACGAACGCCTTCCTGCCTTCCAGCAGCACCTTGCTCTGGGGGCTGAGAGCCCTGCTGTGGGGTCACCTGGGCTGGCTTCGGGGCGCCAGGTTGTTCCTGCTGCGCCTCCTCCTTCGCCTCTTCAACTTCCATGGCATTGCAGTCAAGAAGGGCCTGTTGCTCACTACTCAAGTTGATGCCACACTGCTGAAGCGCTCGCAGGACGGCCTCTTTGCATGGCAGGGCTGACGGCTCAGGAGCCGACTGGACCCTGGATTCAAGGTCCTTTTGCAAGGCCGCCACTTCATTCTGTTTGTCCGTAAGCTCCTCCTGAACACTTTTCATCTGATCTAAGAGATCCGCATACGCAGACTTGGCGCGGTCTATCTTAACCTGTAGGCCCGCAGATTTTTGAATGAGCTGACGGAGCTCATTAGTGCTGGCCTTAAACTTGCGGGTCGCAGTGATCACCTGCTCAGCTGCTGTGGGCTCTGGTGTCTGAGGCTCCAGGCTGGCAATCGCTTGCTTCAGGGACTCAGGCAGCTGATCCATGTGCGCTTTGACCAAGGACTTCAAGTCTGCAGGCTCACTCGGGCTGGGGTCATTGAAGCCCAGCTGCTGCAGGAGGGCTTTCTGATCGGCATTTGCAGACGCCCACAAGGCCTGGGCAGCATCACCCTCACGCTGCTCCTGCTGCTTACCTTTGCCCTTGCCCTTGCCGATGCCTCCCCCAACGCTTTTACGCGGAAGCCCCGGCGGGGGCTCAGGTTTGTCCTCTTCCTTGGGCTTCCAGCCAGCTGCGAGAAGCCCTTGCTGCACTGCAGGCGTAAATTTCTCCCAAAGGGAGTGCAATGCACGATGGATCTTGCCGTCAGGCCGGCCCTTCTGTGGAGCGGCCTTGGGGCCCTTATTCTTCCATACACGGACCGGATCATTTCGGCTTGCCCAGTCCGCCCCTGCAACCGCAGTCGGTTTCTGCTGCGTGGCCTTCGGCCACTGACATCCACACTTCTGGCAGAACGGGTTCGACCCAACACGATCCTGAAAGATCCAACTGCTGGGCCCGCACTTCTTGCACACGTGGTAAGCACGCGACATGTCTGCACTGACTTCTCGCGCAAGTCGTTGCGCGCCTGCTGCCTTCCTTCAAGGAAACTGTACGCAAGAAAGTGGCAACAAAGGGCGTTTTTGCAAGCAAGGCCCTCAAAACAAAACTTTTCCAAGAAAATCAAGCGATCTGTGCAAGCAGGATGTTTCAAGGTTGCAAGTTGCAGCGGTGTTCAAGCAGATGGCGCAAAGAGCGCCTGACAAACTACGGCTCCCGCCCAGCCCTCGCCGGCTAATCCGGCCTACGACCTCTACGAGGTTACGGTTTGGGTTCTGTTCGAGAGCACTAGAATGCAGGCCTCAAGGCTGGCCACGTCGGCACCTCAAGTTTGAGCACTCACGGCAACTTGAGCCAAATGGGATTTTCTCGTCTTGGGCGAACAAGTCGCTGCCAGGCCATTGGCCGGCGGTGGGTGAAACGTATTCCTAACAACTAAACCAAACAACTGTACACTAAGTCGGGTAAGCAGCACTATACAAGCCGACTCGCGTTCTCGCTCTTACTAACGAGTCCAACCAACAGGCTGTCCACTTGCAGGGACCAACCTTCTCTACGGCACTCACCCTGTACAGTTTCAAGGTGCCTGCAGTTCTTTGTCTGCTCACTACCCTGGTAACACCAGACTGTGCGGTAGGCCTGGTCACTTTAGAGGGCTAGTGAGTCTGGTAACACCAGAAGTCCCTGGTAGCACCAGTTCTCGCAGAGAGACTGTGAGTTACTGTTAAGACAGAAGAAGTGGCGCGCACTCTTTCAAAACAAAACTCACGTCATGCGAGCCTGCAGCCTCAGGCCTAGTGCTCTGTTACCTCTTGTTTTCTGCTGTTGCACCTGAGACCCCAGCTGTCTTGCCACTAACTGGGTGCCAAAACCACGTCCTATTTGCCGGTCACACCAGGTTTCCCTGGTAAAAAGCCTTTATCAAGCATGACACTGGCTTCTCCTGCACTGCACTTGCCAGGCAGCAGGCGATTACATTCCCTCACAATAAGGGCCATGTGGAGACACAAAGGGCCGGAAAGCCAACCCTCCCTAGCCCCGCTCACCCAAACAACTTGCCTACCTAGATGCACGGTCCTTACGTTTTCCGCTCACGCAGGGCTACCACCTTCTCTCCAGTGCCACCTGCGCACCTAGGTCCCTTTTAACCTCTCACACCAGGTTCTTACGTTTTCCTTCGTGCAGGTTTTACCTCTTCCAGGAGGCCCTACCTGCGGCGTGAAAAGGTGTGCGATGAGCAAAGATAAGGAGAGCTAGCCTTCCGCAGCAAGCTCCCTCAAAACCAACAAAGCGCATGCGCCAGAACATACAGCACTTCTCCCAGGCCCTCGTACCAACAGGCACTCCATATTCACAAGGGCGAGAACCCTCCTTGCACCGGGTCTTAACACGACGCCAAAACACATTGGCACGAAGGTAGCCTGAGGCCGGGCTAAGCCTGCAGACTTCCTCCAAGCATTTACCCATGCCAGGACGTAGGCATAGGTTTGTTTCCTCCCTGCACAGTGCGAAATTCCTACCTTGGTACTGGCAAAACGACACCAAGGCGCCCAAAACTTAATACTACCAGAATCATGGGAGGTACGACAGAACTCCTGCCAGCTCACAGCCCGGAAGGAGCGCAGGGGATGAGCGTAGCCAAACTCACCTTTCACAATACTTGCACTTCTGGTAATAGACTTTACTTGTTGTGGAAGCTGCATCGTGTCCAGGTAATCAAAACTGACGCGGGGCTTGGGCCAACCCAGCATACAGTATGAGCCTGTCCGCTTAACTGCCCGAGAGCAACGTGAAGAGTCAGGTGGCCCCTGCTTTCTCGCTCTTACTAACACGGACCAAGTACCCATGCCGGTGCCAGCGCTGGGCACTCTGCTACCTAACCTCACGAATCCCTCCGCAGGCGGAGACGTAGTTCCATCACTCTCGGCTTTGACAAGCATTCCTAAACATCCTAAACCCCCAAACTCACAGGCTGCAGTGTGTTGGGGTCGGCAATGCTCGCTGCTAAACAGGACCTGCAGACCCTGGTGCCCACCAGGTCTTAGACCAGTTACCTGCATTAAAGGACACGAAGGCTTAGCAACACGACTGGTCTGCCACGTCTCAACAGGCACCACCATGAAAGGACATGGTCACCAGTAAAACTTCCAGCCCCAAACGGTCACCACTCTCCACCACTGTTGCTCAAGGAAAACAGGCACGCCACAAGGCTCAACAGACAAGTGCCAAAACTCCTAGCCTTCAAAAACACCAAGCCAAAACTTGGTTGCTAACAACACCGCCTTTCACCAGGTTAAACCCGGGGCGGTTACACCAAAGTGTCCTTTGGTTGGCCTAAAGGGCAGCCTCCATGGCAGCAACTCTAAAACTGGAAAAGCGGGCCTGGAACCCCACACACGGTTAGGCCTCGAACCCAGTTCCGACAGCTACCGCTCCCTACCTGGCCATTTGAGCCGAGACCTTGAGCCAAAAATGGGATTTTCACGGTCTTGCGCACTGAGTCGCGGCCGCCGGAGCGGCAGTTCGGTCTGGGCTGTACTCTGACAGCAAAAAGGAGGAGGGCAGCCTTGTTTAAGGCGTCCTCCGCTAGGCCTACTCCTACCCCCCGTTCCTCCCAATCTCCGTTGGGAGGTTACCGGAGGATCTACTTCGGACCTAGTCTAGCCCTCCTCCCAGGCTTTTGCTGGTGAGGTTGAAGCAGCCTCAGGATTTGGCCCTGTGCCTCCCGGTACCGGTGAGGAAAGGAAGCCGGCCATGGCCTCAGCTCCTTGTGCCCCCTGCCTAGGCGGGCTCTGCCGGCTTTTGACCACCTCCCTCACCCCCCAGGACTTCGGGTCTTTGAGGCTGAGGAGTTCCTATTCCTGGGACTTTGCTAGAGACCTGAGGGCTTCAGCTTGCCTCAAGTGGCTCCAAGTTCCCAGGTGGGCGGCCATTGCCACAGCAGTGGCGCATGCCCAATCTCCCGCCGTTGTGGCGGTGGGCTTGTGCCGTCGACACATTCCGGCCTAGCCGGGGGCGTGCGGCTCCGCCTTGTGCCACTTTCACTCCCTTGGTTAGGCGAGGACTGGGCTGGCAGATGTGGCTCCCTGTTGGCCTCCCGGCCTTCCCCCCGGTCTTGCGGTGGGTCAGGCTCGCTCTCGCTGCCCTGGCCCTTGCCCTCCCCCCGTTGAGGCGGTGGGTCCGGCTCTCTCGGTTGCGTGGTGGGTCGGGCTCTCGGTCTAAGTCCCCCCGTAGGTGCGGTGGGTCGGGCTCTCTGTCCCTGTACCCCCGGTGGTGCGGTGGGTCGGGCTCCCTGTCCCTGTACCCCCGGTGCTGCGGTGGGTCGTGCTCACGGCCCCACTCCCCCCGATATCGCGGTGGGCCAGGCTCTCTGGCTTTGCCCTGGCTTTTGGCGGGCTCACCCTTGCCTTTGGCCTTGCCGCCAGGGTTCCAGAGGCCTAAGGCCTTCAGCCTGTCCCGGTCTTTCTTGGACGGCCGCCGGACATGGCCATCAGGCGGCGGATCCCTTTTACCTTTACCTGGGGCTCCCATTTTGGACCTGTGGCCGCGCTAGGAAAAAGGCTTTGCGAAAAACTGCTTCACAGAAGGGGTTCCAGCAGCTGCAAGTGTGTCACGTGCCGCACGCTTACGCTGCAACCCATGCTTACCATGTGCACAAAAACGTTCAAGAACTGCAGGTGTGAGGCCTCCAACAGGCTGCACACCATGGCACTGAGAGCACTTCCACCTGCAACCTTCATTGCACATGGCATGCGAATCATGCCACTTCCACTCCGAAGATGGAACACTGAGGGGGTGGTTTTTGCAGTAGTTGGCAACTTTCCGATTGAAGTTGGGCTTGGTATCGACCTGTTGTATCCACAAGCCACACTCCTCGCACTTGATCTGCAGGTTGTTTGCAGACGTGCCACCCTTGACGAACCTGTGCCCCTTAGTGTCGATTTGGCCTGCCACCAAAGCCGACAAGATTTGCCTCTTATTGGCCTCAGGCGGCAGCTGGGCGGGAGGAAGGTCCGCGACCCCTGCTTCGCCGCATCTGCTCTCCGTTGCCATCTTTGGCAACTCTACCTTTGTTGCGGGTTGGGGTTCGTTGGGCCCCCCCTCTGGCCTTGAACTGGCCGTCTGCGGCCCATGGGGAAAGGGCTGGCCTGCCGTGCCAGCTTCACCGCCGGGTTGCTCTGGAGCCCCTGTGGGCATGGGTGTATCCTCGGCGGGCTGGGGCTTCTTGCCTTTCTCCCCCCCGTGGGCCGGTGGGGTCCTTCCTTTCTTGTTCCGTCTCTTCTTTTGAAACGAAGATCTGCTGGTCGAGGGGCTGGACGACTCGTCCTCGCCCATCTTCCTGGGGTACACCACCTGTGGGCCTTGATCTTTGTCATACCCCATCAAGGCTTGCATGCGCCTTCCCAGGAAAAGTGCAACCGACTCTGCCAGCGCATCAGATTGCTTGAGGGCAGTTGCTCGGTCTTTCGCCTCTTTTGTGTCTGCTCTCGCCCCAACGAGACGATCAACTTCATCATTGATGACTCTGCGCCATTCTTGGCCCGGCCCGACTTGCTCCAAAAATTCGGAAGCTGTGAGGTGAGAGGGGACCCAATGCAGATCCAGCTGCTCCGTGGGGGCCGTTCCAAAGATGTCAAGATGGCGGCCTTTAGTTGAGGTGCCGCGGCGGCTTCTCGCCACCGCGCCCTTGCAATCACTTGTGACATCCGCCCCGGGCTGGAGCTGCTGCGCCGCAAAATGAATGGCCCTGGCCTCCCCACGGTAAACGCTTTGCTCATTCTTGAGCAGTCCCGTGGCTGAGCCAATCCAGTGGGGGCGGCCATCCTTCCAAATGTAGAAGGTAGCACCCCAGACCACTTCTCGCGTTCTCTGGTCGTTGTTAGGCCCCCCGGTTGCATCCGTGGCTGCGAAAGCTTCGGGTGGGACGGGCCCCCCTTCTGCCAAAACGCCTTTTAGCTCAATGGCCTCATCTTGAGCATGTTGGCATTCCGGC